CACAGTCATTCTTCAATTTTTGAAACCGTCAATCATTAGTTCCATTGATGTTGGAAATGATAATTCTGCTTTTGTAGAAATATTTGTAGGAAAATCTACGTCTGATGAATTTCAAGTAAACATTACATAAACAATATTAGTTGTTCAATAAATGTACCTATCTAACCTTTATTTTGTTTTAAAAACTTTACATTGTAGGTATTATTGGTAACTTCTTCTCTGATGACATTGCATGAATGTAAAAATGGATTAAATGTAAACAAAGTCCGTTTCTTTGATACTGACCACCTATCATTGGCATCTAAGGAATCGTGGGATAGAGTAAAAATTGTGTGTACACAACCATACATGAAACAGAGCAAATATGGGTTATCATTTGTAACATTTCATTCTAAAGAAATAAAAGATGTACCACAAAAAGAGCCTATCCAATCACAATCTATTAGGCTAGGATCATTTACATTAAGAAACGATGATGAGTCTGATGATATTTCATCTGCTGGTCGACTATTTTCCAAGCGTAATGAAAATAGAGACGTTGTAAGGATGCCAGAATCACCAGTTAATCGTCTACTGGAAATACACAAAAAAAACTTGGAAACAGGAAAACAAAAAAATACAAATTCTACAAATATTAATATTCAGACACCTTTAAGGAATCAAATGGTCTCCCAATCTCCAAGAGATTCTGTAAAACCAAAAAAAACTGATTTGAATGTTAAAAAGAATGACATAATTACAAAGGCAGCTGTTAAAAATACAGGTAGAGTAATATCCAAGTAAAATATAATATACACCTAATTTTAAAATTAAAAATTTTGTTTTCTAAGATTACTGATTTAAAAAAAGTTACTCTCAGGGTTGGAGTATATTGTTTTAATTATTTATTTAATTTAAAAAAATAAAAATTATATCGTAGTTTATTTATTGTAAAGTTATAGGATATAATATGACATGCGTATTAAAATACTTTTAAACTATTAATCACATATAAGTAATAAATAATAATATTCTTCATTGAGAAAAAATATTTTTGGGTTTATTTTTTAGGAACATTTATACATTACATTATGTGTTATATATTTATAACATAATTATTTATGAAATGCGTACAATTAGAAAAAATATTTAAAAAACCCACTTAAAAATTCACACTGCAAGTAAAAACCCATAATTGTTTTAATGTTGTTTTTTTTTTTTACATTTTCTTATTCTTTGGGATAATTTAAGAAATCAATAGTTTTTACTAAACATAACTTTAATTAGAAAAAAAATTGTTAGCTTCAAAACAAGCAACTACTAGATGCATGTATGACAGTATGAGTGAACTGTATTTTGCTCTAATCAGTCAACATGTCAATGTCAACATTTGTATGAATAGGTGGTACTAAAAAATGAAACTTATTGAAAGGTTATACTTTAGATCATAATATTATACTAATTATGGATGGAGACATGTTTATCTTACCCATGTAAATAATTATTTGAAGCATATATAAGCGACAAATTTCTGACTGAGATGCTTGATGTGCTCATGAGTGAAGCATAGATCGTCGCATATTCAGCTTTTGGTTTATATTTAATATTTATACATATCAATTTGCATAAATAAATATGAAACATTTCTCCTCGTGCATGTTAGCTCACTTTACGCTAGTGCATATCAAGCATCTTACTCAAAGACTTGTCTCTACTGTGTGCCTCAAGTTATCGGTACATGTGTCTATCCATAGTATATTATCTAAGGGTTATACATTTTTTTTTTTAAATTTATTATTAGAGTTTCTTACCATAAACTATTATAACTTGACAATTACAAACGGTTATGCATTAAGACAGGTTTTTCAATTTGTTTTAATAAATAACTTTATTTTGTTGGGTTTGTGATGAATAATAGTACACATCTGGTAAAACAATTGACATCTGAAGTTAGTAAGCTATTGTGCTTGTACTTGATACTTGCTCGATGCATACTGCGACAAAGCTCTTAAAATATGTTTTTATTTATTATTTTTTTTTTTTTAATATTATCTAATTAATGAATTAATGATAAAAATTGAGTTTATAACTTCAAATAAAGATTGTGATCAATTATATTATACGTAATGAACATTTGTACATTATTAACCATACTTAAATATTACATTTATAAAATATTATAACATAATGTACTATAGTATGTGTATAATTCTGTATTTCTGTCATTAGCATACCATTTTCTCCAGTGTTTTTTACAATTACCATGATAGCATATAGTATAATATATTAATATAATACAACTATAACTTTTTTTAAGCGGCTAAAAAGAAAGAATCAAGTCCATCATCATCACACTTGCAATCTTCCAAAAAAAAAATTAAACTAATGAAAAACCCACTACCAGTAACAAAACCATTCAGTGAATTAATGAACAATGTTGTATTTGTAATGAGTGGTTATGAAAATCCATATCGTGGTAACATACGTTCAAAAGCTTTGGAAATGGGTGCTAAATACAAACACAATTGGGATCTGTCTTGCACACATCTAATGTAAGTAAAACAAATTAAATTTTTTAGAAACAACTTAGGCACATATAAAGGGAAGAGTTATGAATACTCAAACTCCTTTCTTTAATATTTATTCATGTTAATATGTTTTATAGATGTGCTTTTATAAATACTCCAAAGTATCGTGAATGTAAAAGACAAGGAACCTATCGTATAGTAACAAGTGATTGGATTGATAAATGTCATTCAAATAGATGTCGATTTCCTTGGAGAAGGTAGTGTTTAAAATAAAATGTATTCTACCCAAGGATTCTTAAAACTAACTCATATTTTAGGTATGCTTTGGATAAATTGGAACAAAATAAACCTGAAAGTGAAGATGAAATATGTGCTCATACTAATTCTGTTGAAACTGATGATAGTGATGATGAATGGAATAATGTTTCTGCCAAGTACTCCATTTAAACATATTCAAAAAATATTCTTAGTATTTGAGAATTTTTACAGTTCTATATAGTTTTATTTACTTAACCTATTTTTTTTTTTGTTGTACAAAGGCAAGTACCCTCAACATCACAAACAAATAGTTCTGTAAGCCCACAAAATACAACAAAATCACTATATGATTTAGATACTGACATTGATTCAGATTTAGATATTCCTAAGGATATATTAGCTGACGAAAGCATCATACCATTGCCATTTATAGATGATATATTTCGTAATTGTTCATTTTATTTATCTACCAGTTTAAAGCCTTTGCTAAGACAAGAATGTAAGCGCTACATTATAGCACTTGAAGGGTAATACTTATACATCATAACACAGTATTTTTTACATGTGTGTACTTTTTAATATATTAATTTTTTTATGTAGAAAATTGAGTGAAAGGGATACATGTGATTATATTGTTTCAACTGATTCAAATGATTTACAGGTAAGGCATTAATGTGATGTTTAATTTATGTTTAATTATTATTTAAAATATACAATTTTTTTAGTTCAAAAATTCTGTTACTCCACAGTGGATTTGGGATTGTTATGATGCAAGAAAAATACTACCATTAACTTAAAACTTTGTGTTTCTATTAATAAAATAGAAAATGTAATGGTTTAATCCTCGCTGTACTTTAAAGGTGTTATGTAATAATTGTGCTTGTGTTTTATGAAAATAGACAATGGTTATGCAAAATAATTATTTCTAATCATACCTTATGTTGTATAATATATTTATTATTTTAAAGTCTTGTAAAATAACAATTAATAAATTATGTTTTATGATTATATAGTTTTTGTTGATTAAGAGCTTTGGAAATATTTAACTACTATGCTTAGAACAAGATATGAATATGTAATAAGTTCTGACTCATAGTTTCTATTACAAATGCACTCCTCGATATTTTAATTGTAACATGTGTGATGTTACAATTCATATTCAATAGTTAAGAATATAAGAAAATAACAACTGATGAGACAGCTGCACAATTGCTTTATCATAATCCACTTTTGAAAACGTTAAAAAACATGAGTAATTTTTTAGAAGGGATGTTTATATTATTAAATTATTCTTATGTCTATTAGTTATTATGATCACATCTAACAAGTCTTGATAACAATGCAATAAACAACAAATTTTTATTGAGGTTTATTATTATACATTTATACTTAAGTACCTTTTAATTCTTATAATAAAATATGTATTTGTAAAATACTTGATGCCTAGGTATATCTATTATTGACTATAGTCTACGCCAAATATTGTTGTAAATACTGATTAAAATGAGATGTACACTAAATATAAATATTATTATATTAATAATACATTGTCTTAAAATTTAAAATACTTCATGCAATATTGCTAACAGTAAACATAAAGTGTTCCCTGGCGCATGGAATAGGCAAAATAGGTACATTACTGCAATGTTAAAATATGTGGTCCATAATAATTTACATTTTGACTCCTCCCAACTCTGTTCTCCGAGACCCGAGAAAATATGGTTGAGCATAAGCTTACAGACCAAAACGTGTCTTGAGTCTCAGGTGCTTCGGCGGTTTGGGCGAGTTAAACGACGGAAGACAGCGGTACGGTGGCAAGCGATACCGGTTCGCGGTACGGCGGCTCAAGGGGGTTGGGGTTCCAGTTGGTCATTTTCTAAGGAGTAAGAATCAGGCACATCTTGTGGCAGTTACGCCAGGGTTATGTCAATGTGTGCGAGTATATATGAACATATTACTGTGATATGATCATATAAAATTAATTTTAAACTACAAGACTTAAATAAATAAATGTTTTTACAATCAACATTTTTTAAAAACCAGTTTTTTCAAATTGCACTTTTTTGGTACAAATGTTATGTGGCACTACAGATCTCGCCCAGATTATAATTATTAATATTAATTTTATTTATAGTTTATACTGTACTTTCAAGTTTTGATAGCAACAGTTGGCAGTAATTTTTAAATTTCGAACCTTATCATTTTTCGGACAAATGCTTATCATTATTATCACGAACCGAGATACTATTATCTTAAATCGTGTTTGTGAGCACGTGAAAAGTGCTCTGTGCTCTTTAGTCTTTTTGCCAGTTGTCATTTTGTCATGGTGAATTGATGACCATTACAATGACAAAATAGATATACAAATATAATAGGAATACAAGACACATTTTGGGAAATCAGGAACATGACGAGGTTTGCCAGGGCTCGAGGCTCTAAGTCATCTAATCAAAAAATACCGGAAGAAGCAACACCATGGTTGGAAATGAAAGAAAAGCCACAACAAACCGAAAACGTCGAGTCGACGACAGATGCGGTGGAAGAGAATCGCAGTAGTAAGTACGACTCGTACTCGAACGTGGATAAATTTGACGGTTTCAGCGTGTTGAAAGAGGACGCAGTGAAACTGCGGGTAGAAAAATTCAAGTTAATTAAACAGGGTGTGCCCAGACATCAGTTGAAGGCACAATTGATGCCAATGCGTCGACGTGCCGAGAAGAAGCTCTCCAGGCTCAGACAAAAATCATGTTTTCATTGCCGACAACCCGGTCATATGTTGAATCAATGTCCAGAGTTGGGTACCAACACCGCACTAGGAGTCTGCTTTAAGTAAGTTGTTTATGTGGGATACTGTTAACATGTAAAGAATCCAGTAGAATACTAATTAGTGTTGCCTGTGTCTCAATATTGTTCCTACTCCTAAACATTTTTAAAACCACACCTATATGGCTATATCTTTTTCATTACTAGATCTATGTATTATGTTTCAGGTGTGGCTCAACAGAACACAAATTACATGAATGTCGAAATGCAGGAAATAGCAGTCAACTAGATTTTGCCAAATGTTTTATATGCAAAGAAGAAGGACATCTTTCACGCCAATGTCCAGATAACCCGATGGGATTATATCCAAATGGAGGAGCTTGCCGGTAATTTATTCGAATAGAAACAGAATAAGAAATAAAGATAAATTTTTTTTATAAATTTAAATGGAATTCATAATTTTGGGTAAATAATAAATACTTTTCCTAGCTTATACAGATTTGCCAATTTATAAATGTAATCAAAATTCAGATACGCAAACTAACTAGTTTTGTTACATTGATGTTGGGTCTATAATTTAGTTAACTGCTTAATAAAAACTTCTTATTTAAATAAAATATAAACATCAACTTCAATGTTATTTAGTATCCTTTTATTATATAACTGATAACATTTTTCCACAAATAAGTTTCATACTATTTATCATAGTTTCTTATATACTTGTAAATATCAATGGTTTATAATAAACTGAATACTGATGCCGTTAACAATTGTATTATTGAAGTTTCAATAACAGAAAATAATGGAATTTTTAATTATAAATGTTTTTAAATTATTAGATCTTGTGGAGATGTTACTCATTTTGCCAAAGATTGTCCAGAAAAACAAAAGAGAAAAAGAGAAGAAGATTTACCTACAGTTGGAATAATGGATGATCGAGCAATTGAAGATTTAGATGATGAAAGAAGCTCTAAGAAACACAAACAATATAATTTAAAAACATTTAAAAAAAAGAAAGTTGTCGTAATGATGAAGTAAACATATTAAAACTTGTTCAATAAATAAATATTTAAAAAAATTATTTTTTATTTTTTAGTTAATTATGATATAATGTAAATATATAATAATATGTATCATATCATTGAACAGTGTTTCGGTAAGTTTACTTTACTGATGAATAATAAAATTTAGTAATTTGAAAAAACATAAATCTTTCTTAATTTCTTGAAAAATACTGAATTAGAAAATATTGGATTATAAGTAAGTTCTATGTAATAATATCTAGGTACTACGTACTATGCAATGAATTAAAATTTTTATTGCAACTTGGCCTTAATCTATGATATACCTGTAGTTAATTACTAACATTTATTGAAAAATATTAATTTTATTTAAAAAAATAGCTAATAGTTGTTATTGGAGCACCTATGATTATAAATTATGTTAGTAAGGTATAATTTATACATACAATTATTCCATTTCCAAACTTTTATAACATTATTTAGAAAGTAACAAACAAGTGGGTCATAGTAGGTTTAGTTAAAAATTAAAATTTGAAACAGAAATGTTGATCATGGCAATTGTATACCTATTGGATACTTGAGTATATTAATTTTATTTTATACAACTTACATACAGATGGGACAATTCTGAAAAATGACTGAGTAATAGTTGAAACAGTTAAATTACAAACAGGATGAATAATTAATGTACAATTGGAAAATAATGGTTATGGTTAGGTGTCTGCATTTGGCGAACGATTGGATAATTGTTAAGATGGCTGAAGATAAATTGAATAAGGCAGCGGTTTTCAACATTTTAAATCCGTGTATTATCTACTATCTAGAGTGCTAGGAATTTATTATTTATTTTCTTGCCATTAATTGAAAATAAAAACATTCACAATAAAAATAAGTATTTATCATAATGTTATATTCAAGAAAATAATATCAACAAAATTTGTCATTAACGATGGTACTTATAAATAAAAATATTATTATTATTATTATGACAATCAAGATAATATACTTCTATGTCTTATAATAATTCTTAATAAATATTGAATGTAAAATAAAACTCATCATTATTTCTTTTTTTTTATTAAAGCAAACTATTAACGAACCCAGGAGTATCCAATGTCTATACATTGGCGGCTCTATTTTATCCGTATTGGCTTACCTACTATATTGTTCTTCTTAAATTAATGAAGGTCATATAATAAAATAAATAGTAAGCATTTTATTGAGTATTGTGTAAGTTAAATATTGCACAGGTACCTATTTCTTTTTAGTGGCATGGTCTTTAATACACACAGACAAAAGTGTTAGGGAGTAACTTGACTTCACTTACAACTAATTATTGTAACAAAGTTACTTTTTGTAGCAAAATTACTATATTACTCCATACTCTAAATTTTAAGAACCAGTTGATAATATTATAATTTCAAATATATCATATAAGTACGATTATCTGACTGGAATTTTTTTGCAATATAAACCTACCAAAAAAATTGTATTGGACAAAAAAGTTTTATTTTTAATCAGTTGGAATTTGCCATTTGGAGAACTGTTATAAATTAAAATAAAGAATAATGTATTTAATAATATTAATGTCTACTTAGGTTCTTAAACAAAGATTTTTCATAATATCATATTATTGATTGTAACTACTTAAACCTATAGAGTTACCTAACGACATAATTATTGAACTCAAGTGATATTGTTGAAGGACTGAAGAAATAAAAAGTCTGTTTATAAATAATGGGAAGAGCTCTTATTATGGTATTAGCTTTAAGTAAACGTGTTTTATGTTCTCATAAAAAAAATCAGAGTTATAATTACCCTGTATTTCAGTATTTTACAGCAAATTCTGTGGCCTTGTTGTGGAAAAATTTGGCCCACGCCCACTTAAATATATTGCAGCCCTATTGGCTATTTTAAAAATGAAAGTTGCTCCTGACATACGATATCATATTATGTTGCTATTCACTCGTCCATATTTATTATTATTAAACTAACAATAATGACCTCGAGGCTTTATAGGGAGAGTCTGTTTTTATTTGAGGTAGGCACCCGCCTACTCGGGGGCAGATTTCTAGCATCACAAGTTTGGGAGTTTAACTGTAAGCTGACTACAAATTATTTAGTGAATAAAAAAATTAACAAAAATGCTTTTTAATTTTAGGACCTACAAGATATTATCTGTGTAGTTTATCCTATAGTATGGTTTTTTGACAGTGTACAGTAGGTTATGAGACTATGTAAAATATTTTTTTTGTTAGTTAAACATTACTGCATATTAATGTATTGTGTACCTAATACTCTTAATACTTTTAAAAAATAATTTTAAATATTTTACTCTGATTGGTATGTAAATTAAAGAGTGTGGACGTGTGGTATAGGTATTACATTTTTTTTTACATTTTAGGACCTTCTCTTTAAATAAAATGCTGTTTTATTATTTATTTTTAACTGCTTTTGGGGACCGCATTTTGGAATTATTATAATTATCAAATAATTATTACACGTCTCAATAGATTATAATGGAAACGTATATTAAATGATATAATAATTATTACGGACACGCGCGTTCCCTCCTATGGTTTATGCGTGTAGTATATTTATACATGAGATTTAACACCCAACTGCCGGACGGCCGCTCGTCCCCCATGTCACCCCCGACCCCCAACACAAACACGCCACCCACCACCTCCCGCGCACCAAAACCAATCCACCCACGCAACAACGCGCACTTGCACCACATGAGGAAATCCCCCCCTCGGGCCCGGGGAGACTTTATTGATTCATTCCGCGTTTCGTGCGCAGCCCTCTCATTGCCTGGCAACCACCACCTGTAACGTGTCACCGCCACAGCCGCCGCCGTCGTCGTCGTCGTCGTCGTCGCGCCGCCATCGTCTTCGTCCCCTTTCGTTTTCTGACCACACGCAAATCTTCCGCTCGATCGCGCGCGCACTCGTCCGCCTTATAAACGCTACACACACCCGGTGGTGGTGCAGGTGGCGATCCGCGGCTCACCGAAACCGTCCGTGTCATCGTATCCTGCCAAAGTCCTCGAATGATGAGAGGGCGCGTCCCGGCCACGTTCGCCGTGCGCGCTTTTTACGTGATGGCGTGCACCGCCGCGGCGGCCGTGCTGGGCGTCCGGGGCACCGACGACAGCCTGCGGTCCGCGCTGGAAGCCATTTCGGACAAATTAGGATCGACGCCCCCGCGGGTGCCGGCCGCGGTCTACTTGAATCCAGGTTGGTACCCCCCCCCCCCACGCTAATCAAACGGCAAGACCTCCGTTAACGGAATCTGTAACGGGACCCCCGACTGCAATGTTTTTATTCCTCGCATAATACATAGGGGACGACCGAAATAAACGGTCGGGTTGTAAGAAGATTTCCGTTTTATAGGGGGGGGGGGGGTCCGATTTGCTATGCAATATACGTATACAATATATTATAAGCGGGTGACTCGCTGCAGTATAGTGACGCAGAGTGCAACTAATCAGGGTCTACCGAGATTCGCGAGACGAAAGTGGTGAGGATCGAGTTGGTTTTCTTCCGAGGTCCTCGCGCCATTTTTGTCACACAACGAAACTCTGTATATTATTATGTGGATGATTGCCAGTGCACTGTAGTCATATCGTTGATTTGAATCTGGGGGCCAAATTTGTATTGAACTTGGGGAGGGGCTGAGTGAAACCCGTATACAACAGAAATTACGCGTATCGGCGTGTTAAGATAACAAAGAAAAATACGTAGAAAATACGTATTTTGCAGTGGTTTTGAGGGAGCAGTGATGGATCCCAATCGCCCTCCTCCCCACCCACCACCGCTCGAGACTTGATCAATTCCTTTAAATTGAAAATTGATTGGCAATATACAATATGTAGTTACCTATATCATTGCAGAGTCGGGAGTGTAAACATTTGGTTTAGATCTGTTAGTGTTAGCATTAAAAGCATTATAATAGTCTATTATAAAATCAACAGTGTTAATTGAATCCATGTGATCGACACTTATAGCTGACGCCCGACAACGATACTTACCACACATAGATGTAGGTACATACTTATACATTTTATTAAGTACACACGTATGCCTATAAATTATTTTTGGAACATTTTTTTCTTCAAATTGCAGTGACGACTTATAGCCCAAGTAAATTATATTATTTTATATGTTTTATATCGATTTATAAATTCGATGTCCGGTAGTTATGCCTATATAGACATCGTCGATAATGTTGCACTATATCCACTACACAGACCCGTTTATGGATTCCTCCTACACGCCCGACAAAAATATAGGTACTAATTTGAAGCAGGCTCAAAGGTTAAGTTCGATGTATAGAGTACACTGAAATACAAAAAGTCTCAGCGATTCAAATAATGTTTAATCATTGTATATATTATATTATAATACTTAAATATATTGTGTATGTATACTATATCTATATTCGTTACACATTTATGTGCGACTATAAAGCAACTTCAAAAATCGAATCATCCTGTGCTTTTGACCATCCTTTCTTTCGACTTGGTGTAATATAATACACGTTTTTCGTGCGATATTATTAATAATAAATTTACAATGTATAATTTTTTCCCCGGATATTTAAATTTCCAGTTCCACGGTCTCCCCCTCCCCCTGTCCACGCTTACGTAAATATAAGAGAAGTCTTGAAAAGTGCACAGTTCACAAACACGACTATATAGTCCGTCAAATATGCGCACCAACTGTATGTTATGATGTACACAAACAATGCGAGTCTGCAGTTACATAATAACCTATTAGGTGCCAAACCCACTCGTCTATTGAACGTTTATTGAACATTAAATAAAAAATGATCATACTTATATAAAGTTACGTTAATAATATATAATATAATGTGTGCGTGTGTGAGAATGTATTTCACGATTAAACGAATATTAATTTAATTCAAGGTTTACACTTTGATGAGTATAATATTAAACTAATTAAAAAAAAGCATTTAATGCTTTATTAAAAAATAAATCCTATATATTCTGACGTCTACATAGATATACTTATTTATAATTCTAGTTTTCAGCGTATATATTCCAACATTAGCAAATAAGATTGCTCAAACGTACATATTATTTATGTGTACCTAGTCACTATATTATATATGATATAGGTATACCTATTCTATACGTGCATAAATAACAATGCCGACCATTACCATAGTTTCACATTTATGACCTCTCACTCGTGAAATAGCTACATGCCTTCAAATTAAAATTATACCAAGTTGAAAAATAGAGAAAGGTACAAATAATCCAACCGTTTTAAAGGCAAAATAAAAAAAAAAATTTAAAAACATGATATTAATATAAAGTTACAGGTTATACTATGCTGCAGTGCAAACACATCACATCACATCTATATAATATACTAGAAACATATAAAATTAGTAAAGTATATGTTTGCGAGAAAATACGCCTTTAAATGTACCTATACACATTATGTCTAATAGTTATAAGTTGAATAGCGAGGACAATGTCAGCGGGTTATTGGGCGTGAAACCCCGTGAACACACCCCGGGAGTGGTCGAGCCTTATTGGCGCCAGCTTATGAGCTAGGTGTATATATATATATATATAGTAACATAATAGTTATACACATTTATAATTTCTATAAAAGCTCATATAGAATCATATAATATAATAATGACGTATCCCCTGCGACTTACAAGTAGATAAAATTTGTTCGGGCCAGCGCGCTACTGCAAAGATTACAAATATTATGAACGTTACACGATACAAATACACAATAGTATAAGAATTTATATAGTTTAATGATTACAATATTATTACTAAACTACGATAGAAAAAAAAGTTTAGCAGGACACCTCGTACCTATATTATTTGCTCTAATCTAATATAATATAGAGACCACATTTTACGCTTTTAGAAGGTATTAGATTATTGGAACACGAAAATACGTCTAACAATTTTTTTTTTTTTAATTTAAATTTTAGATGACGGTCAACCAGAAGATATTGGCTATGGTTATCAAAAAAATTTAAGAAATTTAGAAAATATATTTGAACAAGGAGCTCGAGTACCAAGCAATAAGATTTACAAAGATGAAGTGGTTGAAAAGTTTCTGAACTATTTGGCAAATGAAAGTCCTCAGTACAATCAAAAACCGTGGAGTAAAAAGTCGATATTCCGCGAAAGGGAAGGCTCTGACATGCCCGAAAACTTACAGCAACTGAAATATGATAGTTACGCGACGCCTTCTGCTTTTCGCGAACGATACAAGACTAATCCCAACATAGAACAAGATTACAAAAACAATATGGAAGATCAAGGTGATTATTTGTACACGTTAAATACGCTTATAGACAAATTCATCGAAGCAAATATACAAGGAATGTCGGACGATGAACTGGAGAGTTTTCTGAGAACCCAAGAAGAAAAACGTAACATACCGGATGAATATCAAAATGTTTATGACCCTTATTATAAAAGGGGAAATCCGATGAAAAGGCAGTATTTGTTCATCCCCAGATATCAGATGAGAAGAAACAACAAAATATATCGAAGCAAATGGGTCAAACCGAGGTTAATGAAGAGATCTAAGAAAAATATAGAGTTAAATGAATCGCACACAGACCCAAAAGTGGCCGCCGAGCTTAATAATATTTTTCTAGGATCAGAATCAAACAAAAGCGCCAACACCACAACAACCATAAACAATAGTGTAAATCAAACAGCAAAACCCGAAGTGGACGGTAACAACCTCAAAATAGCATTGACAAAGAAGTCCATCGATTGGAATAATTATTTTGGATACGATCGGAGGTATGTTGCTAAAGACTTGGTTATAAATATACGTCTTATAATAACATAAACCTATTTTTTGTTTTAATTTTCAGGAAAAAATCGATCGATAATATACCATCCGACGAACCCATTTTAAATCAATATATGCTTACCTATGGGAAAGAAAGTGACGAAAACGAAGAGATGAATACTATCAATCTAAAAGATGACAAATTAGTGTGGATGGAAGATGCACTAATCGAAGACGCACTGAAATACACAGGAGCTAATCACGGTACCAACAATCCAGAAGAAAAACACAATGTCAAAAATCATGTTTTTGCAAGTTTGAATGATGCATACAACATTGAAAAATTTAGAGCTGAAAATAACGAGATGCAAGGCAAGTAATACCAAATAATAAATCAATTGATTAAAATTGTACATGGCATTACGACATAAAATAAATAGTAATACACATTATATTTTTCTTTTAGAAAAAGAATATGAAAAAGCAGATTTTGTTATGCCTGCAGAAAACAACAGTCAACCTATGAATTCATTGGATATAGCAGAGTCAACTAAAGAAGGTAACAACTGGACTTAATGCAAGTATGAAAAAAATAATATAACATATTCATATATTTTGTTAGCTGAACATAATGAATGTACTCAACTTCTACAAATAACTCAGAACTGTCTAGAATTGGGAGGATCCGCTGGAGACTTAATGTTGCCCGTGTGCATGCTTTACCGCGTTTGCAGTACTTGTGTAAGTAAAATGCAACACCTAAAAATCAATTTCTAGATTTATAATAATCATAACATTTTTGCAAATGTTAGGAATCCGAACAATCAGAATGCGAAGCAAAATTCATTCAAGGATCCCACGAACTGTGCAGCAAAGCTCCGTTGTGTCGATACTTTTCACGGCGTATACTACAACTTATGCAAGAACATCCTCTACAAATACAATGTCATAAGTGCATGGTTAACTTTTTACAGAACGAAGATTAATAGATGAATCTTTAATATTATAATTTGATCATAACATTAACTAAAAATATGGGAAATTATGCCTATAACATAATATAATTATATATATATATATATGTATACATAAGCTTAAATTATATTCATTTAGATGGTGCTAATCTGTCTCAGAGTTACCAACTTTGTTTTTGCTGATATATGCAAATTAAAATAATAAATAAGTAGTTCAATCAATACGTCATCTATATTTAATAAATATTACATAATATTCATATATACATATACATATACATATATATATATATATAAACTAAAATAATAACATAAACTAGTTATTTGATGATTGTCATCGGTATTGTTATAATCCAAATAAACTTAAGATGGCTTAAGCATATTTAAATGTTTTTTAACAATATTTATATATAAATATAAATAGAAACAAATGTATACAAGGATATATTCCTAAAAATATAATTAAATTAATATAAAAAGCAACCTTAATATGACAAAATATTATGATTTAAATAACGTTAAAATAATACTGTTTATTAAAAAAATTAATATAGCAATATAAATATAAATCAAATTATATATCAAAAAATGTGAAAGAGTAATGGAATTTTTATCACAGTATTTTACACAGATGAAATTATTACAATATCTTAGTGAAGCCGAGGTAAGTGTGAGAAGCTTTACGGTTGAGGTTTATACCAGATGACATTTCCCTAAGTCTAATTAAAATTGATTCACCTGGTTGGAAATACTCTACAATGGACGTGAAACACGAGATTTCTGTTCCAGAAACACCCACTGTACTACACACGGACAGTGTTTCATTTAAATCAGCTGTTACTTTTGTCATAGAAAAACTGTTCTTCTTAGTAGATGACAAATAATATACCTAATAATAAAGAAAACTCATTAAGTACAGAACTAATTCACACTATTTTTCTATAAGCACTCTGCTTTCTGAACTTTTAAAATATACCATGGTAATAAATCTTTGAAAAATGCTATGAATTACTGAAAGGGTGCAACAGTAAAATTTGGTACTTCAGTTTATTTGTAAAAATGTCTCTTAACACTTATCTATTGTGATCACACAGATGAAATTATGTAATTGTGAAATTTGTTTGTATTTTGACAAAGGAGTTGTTTTAAAAATATTTTCAGAGAAGCATTCATAAAAATAAAATAATTTTTATAGTAGGTTAATTATTATACCATTTTTATCACACAACCAAAATTCTTTTAGTACCTATTAAAGTTCTTACTACATTATAATATTTATGAGTAAGAAAAAGACACCTGATTCAAATGTTGCACTCTTCAAAGGAAAATGTACCAGTAAGAAAATATATTACCTGTATGTAAACTAAATAAAGTCCTGGGTCAACTATTTCTATCAAAGTTCTTCTCGAAGTTAATTTTACAGGAGAATACGAATCAACTGGTAAACTTTTATTCGACAAAATCCATGGCCCCAAGATACCTGTTCATAAAATGATGATCAGCATTTGAATTTAAATTCATCAAATACTACGTTTACACCGGGGTATGATGTCAATCAGGCTCACTAAATCAGTCCAAACACTTAACAACAATTATTGACACAACACATTGTCACATTGAAATAAATCATACTAAACCATCATTAAAAATATAGTTAATTAAGTTAAATTCCCAAAACATTTTTACGGACAAGGACCTGCCAAGGTGTAAACGTAGTAAATTACAGATTTACAAAATTAAAGTGTATGATATTGTACAAACTACCATTTTGTTCAAAATCTATATTTGGTTGAGCCAAGTAGAACAAGCACATATTTTGAACTAGAAATAAGAAAATTAAATTAAAAATATCAAAACAACAACTATGTTTGTAAAAAATATAAAATTACATTTTGTAGACTTGGTCGACCTAGTGTGTCTAGTATTTAAATTTTTCAATTTGGAAAAGTCAAAATAAATTTCATTTGTATCACTTTCAGTTAAATCAGTCTTTGAAGATGTTGTGAGTATGCATAATCTTTCGTTTGAAAGCATAGTTTTCAAATCATCAACAACATGATAAATACATAAAACTAAGGATAGCACCAGTAAATTAACAAATATCACAATTATATCTTTCTTCTTCAAATAATCGTTATTATTATTCATTTTATTCATTGTTCTCTTTATATGTTAAAAATCTTAAGTTCAAAATTATGACAACAGCAATATGTAACACTGTAACATAAACTTAAGATGAAATTACCTCAACAAGAAGTCAAGAAATACAGTTCACTAAATAGTAAATGTTACCTTAAATTAGCCCTGCAGGCTGTAATTTCATAACGGAATTTTAATTACCTATCAGCCGTGTTAATTAATTGAATATTGCACTATTGCAATGATGTACCTACTACATTAGCCATCATAATAGGTATGTAGAGATATTATGTAGGTATAATAAATTCGCACTTAATGAATAAAACCTGAAGGTAACATAAAATTTTAATAATTAAAAAGTAAAAATTAAACGTATAAATAATAATAAAAAAACAAAATTATTTTACAACATCGTAATACGAATAACAATATTATACTAACATTAGAAATTTAGAACTACAGTATAGGACAATGGTTATTATTAATAATAGCTAATTTCAATATTTTATCATTACAATAAATTATCAGAACACAATAATCAGTAGGTATGGCGATTTTCGCGCCATTTGTATTGTGTATCTGCATTCTACAATCACGATGGATATACATATATAATATATCCACCTTGCCTACAATAAATTGCACTGGACAATCAGACACAGGCACATGCCAGTAACAATAGCAGGCTGTAACAAATAACAATTCAAATTGTTTACCTTTCGGTGATTGGTCTTAACAGGTAGTTTCACATGTTCTACGTTTAAAGTATACCTGGTATATAACAGGTAATAAAATGTTATCAAATTTTAGTTTGCAGGAACCGGTATCTGGTAGGTGCTCTCGTTTTCGTATCATGTCATTGGACTATTTGAATTTCGAGTTGAAAATTCGAATACTCACACGACACGGCGTACACTGTGTAGCAGCCAGCTTAGGATTAAGGCTTAAATGAACTATGCAGTTTAGATCCCAAGTGTTTTTTGGCATTTTTTTTGTAAACCTACGTATTTCAACGAGTTTAGAACAATGTTGCAATCAGGATTAATAGGTCGGACTTAGTGTATTACCAATAAAGATGACCTTTTAAAGTTAACGATTTTGTGTACTCCCGACCAACAATCAGATTTTTTTTAATTTATCAATAATAACATAAAAGTTAGATTATTTCTAATTTCACCAAAATATTAAGGATGAAACCAACATTTACAAAAAAATATTAATTTTTTTTTAACTTGAAACACGATATTGAAGCTTTAAATTTTTTTAACTTTGTTCGATCGAATTTTTAATAAACACCATTATATTAGCATGTAAAACACACATTTTGAAAAAGAAACTCACAAAAATCGCTTGGGAGCTAAACTGCATTTGTTCCGCATAGGTAAAACGTATAAAGTAAATACAGTGATAATAGTACTTATAATTAATGGACAATGGTACTATGGTAGTATCCAATATTCAGTAATAAGTACTCATATTATATAGTCAATAGTCATATCAACCCACTCCCTTGGATCCGTTTGTAAACGATCCTCGTACCAGTCGTACCTGTTAAAATAGTGTGGCAATATTTAATATTATAGTGAATTGACCTATTATTACATTTGAAGGTAAGAATGTTATTTAGTTCCCTTCTCCCACCGGGTAGGATATTTTTGTATTTTAATTTTAAAGCAAGTTATAAGTATTTCAGTATTTTCAACTTCTTTAAAAATAAATTTCCAATTTTAAGAAGGTACCTACTTAATATAAATAAAACAATATATAGGTGATAATAATTAATATTAATTGATTAAAATGTACCCCCCCCCCCCAAATAATAGTTTTGAAAATTACGTTAAATTATACACCTATTATTATAATATATTTTTATTACTAGCTGTTGACTATTTTTCTTTGTTTATTAGTCGGGTATGAAATACATGTTAATATATAGTATTATAGACTATAGTTGACTAATTGAGGTGATTAGGTACTGAGAACTACGAACGTGTGAGAACTGTATCATTGCGATGTATATAATGTACCTGTAAAACTCACATTTGACAAAAATCTTATCATTCTTTTCATATTTTCCGTATTCGATCGGTCACCAAAAATTCCTATTGAATTGCTAATCTGTATCTTCAGCAATAACATTTTTTAGGACTTCATCACAAAGAACAAAAACACAGATTGGATGTATTAATAATGAATATGTCCCAAAAAGTCGAAAAAAACTAATAACAAATGTGTGAAACGCGATAGTTAGATCGACATGAAAGTTTATTCGATTTAAAGATTTATTTAAAGCTATTTATCATACTTTAAAAAAATTAGAAGAGTGTTCAAATATAGAAACATCAAGTACAGCTTTTCAGCTTTCAAATTCCATTAATAGTTCAGTTTTTATCACAGCTTACATGTGATTGAGAAGTTTTTTTCTTTAACTTTAGGTCGTTATCTATAAAAAGTTAATATTAATTTGTCATATTATTATCAGTGAGTAACAGGTGTATGTAAAATATGAAAAGAAATTCGAGAAAATGGGGCGATGAGTTTAAACAAATATTTTCTAATTCAGAAGTCTATGTTAGAAGGAATTATTGAAGTACCAAGAACTGATGGTCGACAAACTGCACGTAACAATATTCCAGCTGATTCTCCGGAACAATATTAGAAAGATCAATATTTTTACCTTTTCTGAATCATCTGATTTATCAATTACAAGATAGATAAATCATCATCGTGTAATTACTAACTACAATCACTTATTCCAAATTTTCTTAAAAATATAAGTGATACAAAAGTTTGTAATTTTTCAGTATAAAATGTATACATTTTTTGATTTTTTTTCTTCTATCTTCTTAATAGTATAAATACTAAATAGTAAAATATACCAAGGTAATTGTATGCTTAATAATCAAATAAATTTCTGTTCTGTTCCTAACACATTCTTTATTATTATTATTATTTTTATTATTATTATTAATGACATACGTAAAATTTAGATATTTAGTATAATAATTGTCACATTAAAAAATAATGAATAAAGAGGAATAAATAATTGTTTTATTATGTAGCTGTACTAATTGTATTGCTATATTTTGTAACTCCCCCGTGGAATTGTATTAAATACAAATATTTCACAGCCATATTATATTAAATTATATTATGTTATCATATTTTTATTTAATTATTTTAGCTAAAACAATTACAATTAAATAATTACAATAAATAATATTAATAATAGCTGATACGTATACCAACTGAGCTATATAAGCTATCGCATATTCGTATCTGCAGGTAAGTATACCGAGTTCATTGATATTATAAATTCTTTTAAAGTAAAATACTCTTAGAAATAAAAAAAACGATTTAATTAATTAAATACAAAATAGTAGGTATATATTTTAGAAACACAGTTAACGTCAGCGTTACATATGGATTGTGGATAAGATAGGTATTAAGTTTAGCCGTATTGACTTTTTATAATTTTATTAATACGCACATTATCATCAAGTTCACTAATTATTGTATTAATTGCCGTTTTTATTTGATTTGTATTAATTATATCATTGGTATTATTGGATTGACTTTCTTATAATTTTGTTATTAGACTCTTTACTTTACGTTATTTAAATTGTTGAACATATAGTTTTCCCCGTGTAGGTAATTGTGGGAGTTTCATGAACTTGTTAATAATGTATATGAATTATGAAGGTTTGATGTATTTTCCTGTTCTACTAGCAATTATCTGTGGCATTGAGTGTGTCAGTGTGTAAATAATAAGATACAGAAAAAAAGTTGAATTATCGAAATCTTAAAAATGAATATTTTATGTTATTAGAGTCATTCTGTACATCGTACAAACCTAATGAGTTTAAAACTTTAAAAATAAATAAAAATACGGCAACGGCTGCAGTAGGAAAACCTACAAAAAAAAAAAAATAGCGAATTAGTAAAGAGTAATCAACTGTACATAATAATCATATTATACAGAGTGATTCAGAAAGCATGCTCATTGCTCACCCATTTTTTCTTAAATAATCTAGTTTTTCAAAATTGGATTCTCGGAATTTTTAAATAGACTTATTTAAAGACTATATTTCCAAATTCTTGTTATTTTTATGTTCTATTAATGGACCTGTGGAGAGATTCAAACCTCTGTTTTCACCAGAAAAAGAGGGTTCTCTAATCCCTACAATCCTACTATAAATTATTTGGTAAATTTTTTTTTTGAAAATGTTAATGTATTAAATAAAAATTTGAATAAGTACCTTATTTTGAATTATTTAATTGTGTGTACTAAAAATATAGACCATGATACTGGGTTTGGAAGATATGGGGCTAAGGTGATACGTAGCTAGGTACTATCCCTTTCACATAACTATTGCATTTTTTAAAATTGATAAAAATAATAACACTATTTTTTGGAATTCTTACGAATCTGAATTATACCTTTTGGTGAGTGGTGACTATTCAATATTTCAATATTATATACTGCATTAATTCTTGTTTCCTTCATCGTGAAAATGATATTATTTATTCATAAAATTGACACATTATTAAATTAGGTACTCATATTACACTTACTGTTGAAAATATATATATTTTTTTTTGAGTGGCCTTTTATTATGAGTAATGACGTATTGACGTTCTTATAAAACATTACAACACTTTATAATATATTGTTATATTATACGGTTTATTTTTAAGCGCAACACCTCCAATCATTCAAAATCATGACGTCACAATACTCATCTCCATGACTCTTTATAATTCTACTCTTTATATGTATAGACGTCCATAAATATTACTATCTATACTACCTTTTTTGAAAAAAAGCGTGGGTAACGGTAACATTATTATGAAAATAATATACATAAATTCAAGGAATCAATAATTAACATACCTATTATTATGCAGTATAAAGGGAGGAGGTTGACGAGGATATGGTGTCATATAATATACCCCCTTCCACAAATAGTTTAACATTTTTTTGTCTAATAGTTTTTCATCAGCACAGAAATAACGTGTAAAATATCGTTAAAATAAAAATTCGCGTTTTCATTATTTTTTTCTGTATGATTTTGAATATTTGTTTAAATTAAGTTGATTAATAGGTAACAATACAAGTTATTATGCAACTGTGCAAGCATATATTTTATCTCCACCACGGAGAGTTTTACATAATGACAGGCAAGCGGGCAAGATATATTACTAAACATAAACACACTATATTTCTATAATAAAAAAAGAGGTTTTAAATTCCAATTTTATATGACTGCTTGATTTACTTGTCTTGATTAATCAGGAAAATACAGTGGTGTACATCGTAAAAATTGTATTGGATTTTCCACAAATGGTGGCTTGCACGGTAGCAGGGAACTAGGAAATCTGCTTTTACAAAAATCAGTAGTATAGGTATTTGAAGCATTTAATGCATGGAACTGTTGAAAAAGCTAATGAAGTTAAGGTTTTATATACTATAAACTTATACTAAATTAAAATAATTTCTTAATTAATACTTAAATATTCCACAAATACTCTACACGTGCAGATTATCACGTAATTTCTGTTATCCAATCAGACCAATTTCAAACAATTTTTACAAAAGACAACTTTAAAAATAATAATATAATATGATACTTAAAT